TTGATTTTTTATCTGTTGGTATTTGATAGAATCCATGATGCCATGTGTCTAAACAAGATGTCCAGGACCTCCAGCAGAAATATAGGCCCACAACATCAAAAATACAGCAGTATATTTCATTGTACACATGGGATACTTTTTATCCTTGTGTTCACCAAGCCCATCTTGAGTGTTTGCTGCTAAAAAGCTCACTTTTTAGTTTCATCTGACCATAGAAGCCAGTCCCATTTGAAGTTCCAGTCGTGTCTGATAACTGAATATGCTGGAGTTTGTTTTTGGATGAGCTAGGAGAATTTTTCTTGAAACCCTCCCAAACAACATGTGGTGATGTAGGTGCTGTTTGACCATTTTTTTAAGGTTTTCTGACCCCGAGACTCAAATATTTTCTGCAATTCTCCAGCTGTGGTCCTCGGAGAGTCTTTAGCCACTCAAACTCTCCTCCTCAGCGTGCATTAGGACGATATAGACACACGTCCTCTTCCAGGCAGTTTCGTAACATTTTCTGTTGATTGGAAATTCTTAATTATTGCCCTGATGGTGGAAATGGGAATTTTCACTGCTCTAGCTTTTTTCTTAAAGTCACTTTCTAATTTGTGAAGCTCAATTATCTTTTGCTGCACATCAGAAATATATTCTTTGGTTTTTCTCATTGTGATGATTTTTCTATACATACACATATTCTGTATATACATACATATACTATATATTAAAATGTATACATATATATATATATATATATATATATATATATGTGTGTGTGTGTGTGTGTGTTTATATGTATGTATTCATTATTATTTATTTATTTATTAAACATTATGGATGGTGATAACTTAGTTGGACCCATTTTGTAATCCCAAATATATATATATATATAAATTTGTTTTAGTGAAAATTAATTGTCAATCATTTTTTGTTTATGATCAATGTGCTTTCCGCCCACAATCGTGACGTCACAATGGCCTGCCCGTGACGCACGCTGAGTGGACGCGTTGCAGTGGCGCTAGAGAGTAAGCGTCAATAAAACACAGCAGCGATGTCAGGCATTATTTATTTTGCGTGCTTCGGGAGCTAGTTTAAACGCTGAAAATATCCTTATCGTTCCCTAGTTACCACCGGAATACACCAGTTCTGCTTCTCTCGGGCTCTGTTAGTCATCGCCAGGCGCTGAAGTCCCTGTCGTGCTTTCAGAAAGCTGTTCGTGGTGTTATCTGTGTAGTGGGAGGTGTGCGCGCGTCTCAAGGAGCTCCAGGAGGACTGAAGATATTTTTTAATGGACATATTTTAATATTTATCCATCTGCTCGATACGGTAAGCGTTATATTTAACTGACAACTTATAATATTGCAATATACCCCCGACGGATCTTCGAAGCGCCTCGCTTCCCTAAATCTGCTGCGCGCTTTGACGCTTGGATAAGCTGGAGGACAGCGACTCCATACTGGACCACGGAGAGAAGATTTGTTTGATGTCCTCGTGAGGAAACCGAGCTGAAGATGTGGGTGAACCCTGAGGAGGTGTTGCTGGCCAGCGCGCTGTGGATGACAGAGAGAGCGAATCCCTATTTCATCCTGCAGAAGAGAAAGGGCCACGGAGACGGCGGAGGAGGACTCGCGGGTAAAGCCACGATTGCTCAATGAACCGCGCGCACGCTCATGTTGTGTATGATGGCAGCTTATGCTCAGGTGTGTTCATTCATGCCTGCACTCTCAGGTGGACGCGTGCAGCTCGCGGTCACGGAGACGCACCTATGCGCGCGCTCACCTGTGTGGACACATCACTGAGCAAATGGTCTAGGATTTACTTTCCAACTATTTTCACTCAGATATTGCTAGTATTTTCCACATATAATTACACAGAAACGGAAAGTAACACAGAATTAAATGTCCAATTTAAATTAGAAAGACTGAAATAGTGTTTTCATATAAAGCATACTCTAATAATTGTTGTTTTATTTGCATCTTCGAAAAATTTATTTATTTATTTATTTTAAGTATTTTAGCATTTTACCAATTGAATACTTATTATTTATTAGCAGGTGTGTTATCAGCATAATTTGAAAATAACATGAATTTGAATATTTCATATTCATAATGTCTGCTTTTTGCTGTAATGACATGGACACGTTTGTGCAAAACTTGCTGATTCATGTTATCCAGCATATTTGATCATTTATACAAAGAAGTTCCTTTTTTAAAATCCTAAAAAAAACAGAAAAAATGATTAAATTAGAATTTAAATGGACATTAAAAATTTTATTTGATATTGATAGAAAGTAGGTTTCCAATCAGTTCTACATAGTTGCCCTCTATATATTAAAGGATTGGGTTGTATGTATGATTGTGCATAATATGAACCTACATGGATTTATATAGCCTCATAATCATATTATTTCCATTACTGCTGTGAACAGGCCGTGCAGAGATGTATAGATGCATTCAAACACCATAGAAATGGCTCATTATTGTTTCTGTGTGATGTTTTTAATGTGGCCGTGGTTGACCAAATAGCAAAATGGCCAAATATTGGCTGTTTAATCAGCCTGGCTGATATATGCATCCAATAACCCATTATGAAAGTCCTTCTAGTGAGATATTAGTGGCTCAGTAAGGTTCAGTTTATTCTCAATGCCTCAGGACATGACACTGAGCTGGTTTGATGTTGTGTAATATGCTTTATTGACCTCACCTGGTGACCTGACCTGTATTTATAGCTGGACAGGTGCAGTATGTCTGGCGTTCGCCTCTTTATCTCTGACTGACAGAAATCATGCTTGGAGCCTTGAAGGGAATTCTTGCACAATAATGTGATTGTGGATATAACTCGGAGTGAATAGCAGAGATCAACGTTGTAAGAGCCGAAATGTTGCCGGTATTTGTGCGCATACCTCTTTGTGTCTGTCAGTGAGAAAAGACAGACGCAAAGCGTGCACTAGCGAGGGAAGATGATGTCATTGTTACATAAATGTGCGAGCTGTGTGCCAGTGAGAGTCGGTGAGCCTGGCACGGCCCAGCGGACTGACCCGCAGAGTCTTGGGGAGCCGGCATTCGGCCAGGAGTACTAGAAACAAAGCCAATGTGTATGTATGTTTACATACATCAACCAGAGCAAATATCTTGTGATTTTTTTTATTCAAACATGAATTTTTATCAGAAGAAAAGTGCAATGGACAAAGACGATATACTTGTGCATGACGATAATATGGGCTTCGAAAGATTTTCTTATTTGTTTCTTTAAATTAATTGCATACTGTAGGTTCATCCAATTTATTTTTCATTTATTATTTAGTGCTGTTAAACGATTAATCGCTTACAAAATAACAGTTTTTGTTTGCAATATGTGTGTGTTTTGTGTATATTTATTATAAACTATTAATATAAATACACACACATACAGTATATATTTAGAAAATATTTACATGTATTTACATGTCTATATTTATATTCCTATAATTAATATTATAAATAAATATATTTAATATATAAACATAACCTATTTTTCTGAAATATATACATGCATGTGTGCGTATTTATATATACATAATAAATATACACAGCACACATACTGTACATATATTATGTAAACAAAAACTTTTATTTTGGATGCGATTAATCGTGATTAATCGTTTGACAGCACTATTATTTACCCATGAGAACGAAAAATCACAAATGAGATCTCATTAATATCTCGCTTGTTTCTCACTGACAGCTCTGAGAATAAATGGAGGCTTTTGTTTTGGGATTATTACCTGAATCTTACCAGAATATTCTCCCACATGTCACTTCTAGAGATCTCAACATTGTCTCAAACTGTGCTCAGGTTTTTTTCTCATCAGATTCTTCTAAAAAATTCATTGAGCTGTGATCTCTGTATTATTTTTATAGCTCTATGCGCAACGGCCAACGCATTTGTGTCTGTTTTTGAGGCATTTTATGAGAAACATTTGAGACAAAGTTGATGCTTAAATGATAAATGCTTTTAAAAAAAATTGTGGTGAACTATGAAAGAGCAACCTTTTAGCAGTCAGATTGTAGGTATTGCCTTTTTAAAACTTCATAAACATACTTTATTCCAATTTTTTGACTAAGACACCCAGAACTGTTTTAAGAGATTGACCGATAATCGGTTTTACCGATATTTATGCATTTTTCCATAAACGGATATCGGCTTTGTAATATTGGATCCACCGATAAATGGAGAATTGCGTGCAAGACTGCCACAAACTTGTTCACAGGTAAAGTAACTTGCTTTGCCTTAATTAATACACTTTATTTAACGTAAATGTCTTAAATCCTCATTAATGAGGTGCATTACATAAATACTTGATATGTAGTCTGTGAAATAGAGACTCACAGAGTCGTGTAATCTGTCAAATCATGTCCCAGAGACATAACTTTACATAAATTAAACAGGCTTAAATGAGTGCATGATGGAAATAAAAAAAAGAAGTAAAACAATAAATAAATATAGGTGCTGCATATCGGTTATCGGCACGTAAACATGCAAATTATTGGTATTGGTTCTAAAAGAAAAATCACTATATGTCAGTCTCTAATTTTCATCCATTATCCAAAGGCCCAGTGGTTTACTTTCATCCAGTATGAGCCCAAACGTCTTTTCTATGGCTAAATACAGATGAAGTCAACAGCTCCGTTGTGTTTTTATGCCATTCAATACAGTTGTATCAGGTTGATGCTGTTTAGGAGAATATTGATTTTGTCCATGTGCTGGTAAGGCTGTTTTTGTCAGAGCGGAGATTAATTCATTTGAGAGCAGAACTCATTCTATATTTAGAATGAGAAAAGACAACAATGAAATGTTCCTCCTACAACTCCTTATCCAAGCATCCTAATAAGACTCGCAAGAATCGCAGGACAGATTGAATTGTGTTTCCCTGTTGGCATATATGTAGGCTATGTAGTGTAGTACTCCCTACTACACTGGTCAAAATGTGCAGTGTACAACAGAGCAGACTGCATAATGTCTCCCATAATGCAGTGCGCTCGACTGGACCTTCCATATGCAAATGGTTAATATGATATTTAATATGGTATAATATTTTATAGACACAATAACTGGACACCACTTGGTAAATTAAACATGTTCACAATGAGGTTTTGTGATATCAACGGTTGTTGAAGCATTTATTGTTATTTATTGTTTCATATTTTAAAAAATAGTAGGCAATGTGCAGTGCAAACTTAGCCATTTGCTAGTATTCAATTTGACTGACATTTTGACCATTAGAGGATCTAAACATTTCAGATTGACCTCTTAACTCAACACAAAGAATACAAACGTCCAGTGTTATTTTAATATTATTTATATACTATTATATTTTCAGTTTTCGTTTTAATATTATTTTGATTAATTTTGTAATGTTCTTTTAAAAATGTTTTTAATGTTTTTGTTTTTTATTTATAGTTATCTCTACCTTATTATATTTTCAGTTTTATTTTATTTATTTTACTTCTGTTTGCTGCCAAGACAACATTTCTAATTTCCATTTAAGTTTATTTTACATATTATTTATTAAGTTTATTATTTCTATTTTACTTTATTTCAGTTAACACAAAAATGTTCTTAATAGTTTTAATTTTATTGAACAAAACTGCAGACGTTAATGCTGCCTAGATATATTTTAACATTTTAAATTTATTGCTAGAGATGCACCAATCGAACGGCCAGGGACCGGAATCAGACGATTTTCCGCATCAGTTTCAAAAACGAAAATCGTTCCAATCAAAGCCACAGCTTTTCGTTACAGTTCAGTTTATTTATTTATCCCCGTAGGGAAAGTACGTTTGCAGAATACTCGGTCGTTTAACAATTCACATCTGGCATATGTAAACAATAATTTAATGCTGATAAATTTACATTTAAAATAACCAGTCTAGCTGACCATCAGTAACTGCTAGAGGAAGAAGAATTTAAGAATTTAATTGCTTGGGGAATAAAAGATAATTTTGACCTGTTTATAAGCATCTGGGATATCTTCTGCCAGATGGTAAAAATTCAAAAGTACTGAATAAATCCACGTTTTTGAACGAATCGAGTGAGTCAATGATTCAGTAACCCATACATAAAGATAGTCACTTGCCTCGTTTCTGAATGAATCAGCCGTTTGAATGAATTGGTTGAATGAATGACTAAATGACTCACTCATTAAAACAGTCATTTGCCGCCACCTATTGGTGGTTTGGTTTCACATTTAAAAGTATCATTGCATTTTTCCCAAAATTTCTTATTTGTATGTTCAAAAAAAATAAATAAAACATTAATCTTATAAAATTATTTATGCATTTGCAATTTTGCGGTGTAAATGCATTTACGGCACCTCTCAGCTTCATCAAACAGTCTGTGTAAATGCATCTAATGCCACTTCAGTTTCCTGCAGTGGAAATATGGAGTTTGTTTATACTGATTTCATTTGAATGGGACTCGCAGGCAACTCCTTTCTACCTCCTTCTAGTCACAGAGCACTTTATTTTGAGAGTTGTTCAAGTGAGAGAGAACATGTTTAATAATCTCTTGTATTATGTAAATATTTTTTTGCATTGGAAAAAAAGTAGATTTTTGTTTGTATATGCTGCCAAGTATAGTTCTTAGAAAGAAAATCGAAATCGGCAAAAATCGGTATCGGCAGGTCACACTTACAAAAAAAAATAAGGGCCAAGAAAATTGAAAATTGCAATTGGTGCATCTCTATTTACTACCTGTTTTTTTATTCATCACTTATTAAAAACGAAAACCCTAAGAGTATGATCTCATATCCTGTTGCCCGTATTCATTGTGGAGTGTGAAGTGATTTCACAAGCTTGAAATCTAATGTGATTGCACCTTAATATAAAATGGAAAGTGTTAAATGTCTATGCTACTGTGTAACAGTGTGAATTTGAGCCGAAGTGTGTGAATATTAATTCTGGCAGGCATTGTTTGGAAACCTTTTGGGACTGTCCAGTCATGCAGCTTAATTAATATTCATGATCCAAGAATAGAATATTTAATATTTATTGCAGAAGAAATTTAATTATTAAAGTTTAATGTTTAACATGTTTGTAAATTAATTTTTATCAATAATATTAAAATAGATCAATAACAAAATAATGAAATGTATTAATAATAAAATTATTTTTAAATATTGTTTTTCTGAAAATACATCAATATATTAGTGCTGTCAAATGATTAATCGCGATTAATCGCATCCAAAATAAAAGTTTTTGTTTACATAATATATGTGTGTGTGCTGTGTATATTTATTATGTATATATAAATACACACACATGCATGTGTATATTTCAGATAAATATGTTATGTTTATATATTAAATATATTTATATATAATATAAATTATATTAATATAAATATATACATATTACTGTATGTGTGTGTATTTATATATACATAATAAATATACACAGCACACACACATATATTATGTAAACAAAAACTTTTATTTTGAATGCGATTAATCGCGATTAATCTTTGACAGCACTACAATATATTATGATGCTTAATGAATACTATGTTATGAAATATGTCAAATATTTGACAAAAGGCAGTTGTTTTGTTCCATCTGTCAAAAAAACTTGAAATACTGGAACTGGAAAAGGTTTATTAAAGAATGAACTGAATGTTGTTGATGTGCACGCACACTCTTAAACAGCGCTCAGCGCAGGGCTCTGCGACTGAATAGATGTGATCCTTACAGTATTCTCAAATCTCTGCTCTCTTGCAACCAAGGAAACTGTGGCTCATCCGAGCATATGAAAGCAGGAACAGAAAGTCATGTGTTCAGGAGGGGGATGTTATTGCACATTTGAGCTCCAGCAGAAACAGGTAGCCAGATTTGTCTGGAAGATCCTGATTCACACATTCAAGTCTGGCAAAATCTGTGGTGTCAAAAACGACTACATGTATGTTTACCTTCCTAATGCATATTCCTGGTCTTATTGTGCATGATTCATCAGTGTTCTCTGCTAAACGTACTTTTTCATGTTCAAACTGGCTGAACCTGCCCAATCCGCACTGGATTGTGAAGCCGTGTTGCAGGTTTTGTGAAAACGAGTGCTAGAGATGAAGAGCTCCTCCTCTGATCTGCAGGTTTTGCAGGTGTCTTCATTCGTCGTGTCTGATGCTCTGATAGCGATGTTAACACATTCTCGCCCTGCGGCTTCAAAGCCTCTAACAGCGGTTGCAGGCTCACCCAGGGGGGGTTTACAAGCAGCAGCTTTTTAAGGAATGATGTGTTTTGTTTGTTTGTTTTATCGTGACCCAATCTACACACAGTTAGACTATCATTTTGAAGCTGTATCTCAGTGTGTTTCTGTTTGTTTGTTTGTTTGTTTGTTTGTTTTTTGAAGTACATATATACACACACTACCATTCAAAAGTTTGGGGTCTGTAAGTTTTTTTTTTTGTTTTTGTTTTTGTTTTTGTTTTGAAAGAAGTCTCTTCTGCTCACCGAGGTTGCATTTATTTAATCAGAAATACAGTAAAAACAGTAATATTGTGAAATATTATTACAATTTAAAATGACTGTTTTCTATTTGAATATATTGTAAAATGTAATGTATTCCTGTGATCAACACTGAATTGTCAGCATCATTTCTCTGGTCTTCAGTGTCACATGATCCTTCAGAAATCATTCTAATATACTGATTTGATGATTAAGAAACATTTCTGATTATTATCAATGTTGAAAACAGTTGTGCTGCTTCATATTTTTGTGGATACATTTATTTTTTTCTGGATTCTTTGAACAGAAAGTTCAAAAGAACAGCATTTATTTGAAATAGAAATTTCTTGTAACATTATAAATGCCTTTACTGTCACTTTTGATCAATTTAATGCATCCTTGATGAATAAAAATATAAATTTATTTTTAAAAAAAGTCTTACTGACCTCAAACTTTTGATATATAAATTTTTTTTAAATGTTTATTATTATTATTATCATTCAGTCAGAGGAACCATCATTTTGGCCAAACAGCCATAAAATTAATTGCTTTATTGAAACAGACAGTTTGAATTGATTCATGGAAATGAATCAAATTTATCAACTCTAATGCCATTTTTGCTGCTAAAGCTTAAATCAGGGACAATACCAAATCATCATATTCTTAATGCTCTCATGCCTGCGAGTCCCAAGACAAGGATCATAAGATCACAACACGAGTCTAATGATGTGGTCATTAGGAAACAATATTTTACAAACATTTCTGGAAATGTTCTGGAATATTATATACTGATTTCTTAACTTTATACTCAAACTAAAATGAGTAACTGAAACTAAATCAAATAAAAAAAATTAAAAAAACATATTTTCAAGTAAAAACTAAGCTGAAAACTTGAATAAAATATTTAAAATGTATTTGAAAAATATATAAATATCTTTTTTTTTTTTCTGTGTGTCTAAGTACTGTTGATTTAGTCTATTGTAGGCTGCTTATCTCCAGTGGTCATTCTGAGTGTATGTTGTCTGTATTCTCACAGGTCTGCTGGTTGGCACCCTTGACGTGGTGCTGGACTCGAGCGCCCGTGTGGCCCCATACAGGATCCTCTACCAGACCCCCGATTCCCTGGTTTACTGGACCATCGCCCACGGTAACATACTGCCTCCGCTCTGGAATATTCCCTCTCATCCCGCCTGCTTCCTGATGGCCACTCGCTGCCGGAGCATTACCTCATGCCCTAGTGCCTCTAAAGTGCAATCTGAAGTCAGAAATCAATGTCCACTTTTCTTTCAAACGCTGCTCGACTGAACATGATGTTCACTCACTGTCTCCACTTTTAAAGTTCAGTTTAGACGTTGAAAACTTCAATGTAGGAATCAATGTTTTAGCAAAGACGGCATTTGTTAGGAATCGGTATTCGTGCAGGACTAGGAAGAGTGCGGTGAATGTGCAATTAAGAGCACTTATGATGAGAGCGGCTCTGCTTAGAGTAACACAGTGAACTGAAACGGAGATGGATTGTGTTACAGCATTTCTACATTGGTAGATATATTTTGCTCAGGCCTACATTACATTAGTTGCATGTGAAGAAACAGAATTAGTTGTCACAATACCAAAATGTTAGCAGTTAGAGCAATACTAGTAACATTTCTCTAAAATTTAAGTAAAGATTCTCAGCACCAGTTTCATTACAAAAACTATTGCACAACTATTGTTATTGCATCTGTTGCTCTATTTATTTTATTTATAGTTTTAACTATATATTATCTAACTTATTTAACTAATCTGAATACAAATAACATTTATTTAAGTGTTACTTCAAATTGATCATTCTAAATAAACAATACATTAAAACAATGGCAAGTAGCCTTTAATATTTTTTCAGTTAAGTAAATATTGTTGTAAAAAAGACTGTTAATGAATAAATAGATTCTGCTATACAATTTGTGTAATAGTAATTTATGTTGATTACATATATTACTGCAAATTAATAATTATAAATAAATAATACATTAAAACACACACACACATGGTCTTTTTTTAAAGCAATATAAATATCGTATCATTAATAAAATCAACCCAGTATAGATTCTGCTATAGTAATCTTGACATGTTAGATATATTTGTGTAAGAGTGATTTATGTTATTTACACTTGACAAAACATGTAGCTTTGTCAGAATACCAAAATTTTAGTAGTCAGTGGCAATACTGAAGAATTTTAATGATTCTCGATGCTAATTTCTATACCACTTAGACTACAAAAATGAACTTGATATCGAGCCTCTTAACTATTTCACTATTTTAATTTAATATTTAAAAAATATTACTTTTAATCATAAATAAAAATGCACTGATTTAAATATTATTGCAAATTAATAATTCTAAATAAATAATACATTAGAATACATGTTTAATTGTCTGTTTAAAAGCAACATTTTCTTTTTAAGAAAAATAAAATAAAATTTAAAAAAAACTATTTCAATAAAAAAAAAAAATGCTTTAAGTTTTTTAGTATCCAATTTATGGAGGCATATTAAAGCTTCCAAAGTAGAGCAAAAATACATACCTGAAAAACCATGATACTTCAAATAACGTGTCTTTAAGGGATGTTAAACACAACATGGAGTTGAATACAAGATGAATATATCAGTAAGATTTATATGGTCATCATTGTACAGTATTCATCATCATAGCGTCGAGCCCCTGCCTCGAACATTATGTGTGAAGCCAAAAGAAAGCGCTGGCTTCCCAGAGGAGCGGAGAGTGCTCTGTTTCTGAGCTAATCTGGTTTACAGGCAACTGCGAATGCTGGTTCATATTTCACATGCTGTTATTTTGCTAGCTGCAAAACATTTGGTAAATCTCTTTATTTAAGGCGAGAGACCCGTTTGCCTCTTCTGAGATGTGCATATGTTCTGTGAAAAGCTTTAGCATGACTGTGCATTGGCACTTTTTTATTTAAAATGTATTTTCTAGAAATAATCCTAGGCTGCATTTACCGTGCATCAATATTTTGAGACTGATGCTAAAATAAACAACTAAATAAATGTATAAATATATATATACAGTGGGTACGGAAAGTATTCAGACCCCCTTAAATTTTTCACTCTTTGTTATATTGCAGCCATTAATTATATATATTGTTATTAATTATATATATTGTAATTTGTCAGACATAAACAACTAAATGAATTTAATGTTATTATTAATATTTAATATTAAAGTTACATGTATATAAATATAATATAATATTAAGATTAAATTTAATATTTAATATAAATTGTTGGTTGTCAGACAATATAAACAGCTAAATGAATTTAATATGATAAATTTACACACATTATTACGGAGCCCCGCACATGACATGCAAGAAAAAAATCATTAAATTGTGCGCACGATTTACTAATTTGTTCCCTCGATGTTCTAAAACGTGCACACAATTACTATTTCGTTCCCTCGATTTATAAATCGTGCGCACAATTTACGAATTCATTCTCTCGATTTATAAATCGTGCGCACAATTTACTAATTCATTCTCTCGATTTATAAATCGTGCTCACAATTTACTAATTCATTCTCTCGATTTATAAATCGTGCTCACAATTTACTAATTCATTCTCTCGATTTATAAATCGTGCTCACAATTTACTAATTCATTCTCTCGATTTATAAATCGTGCTCACAATTTACTATATTAAATATTAATTTTAACACTTAATATTAATTGTTGGGGTTTGTGTTCTGCAACTGTGTTGTTGTTTTGTTTAGTTTTTTTGTGAGTTTTGGTTAAACAGCAAATGGAGCATGGATAGTTAGTTTTTAAAATAATTGTGTATTTCCATCTTTACATAATTGCGGGACACTTGTCACAGAACGAACTTAATGAATCGTTTGGCTTGCCAGTAATGTGTTTGATTTATTGCCTGAGGAGAGCTGTGCTAATACAGAGCTAATTAAACGATGAACCCGGACCCATCTGCTGTTCAGTTCAGAGCAAATGCAGTCGCTGCGGATAAAGACTTCAAATGAAATTCATTATCGTAAATGTGTGGATTAGTATTATTTGATGACACAGAGGTTTTTGTTTCTGGCAGGGAGCTCTCGTAAGGAGGTCACGGAGAACTGGGAATGGCTGGAGCAGAATCTGCTGCAGACGCTCTCCATCTTCGAGAATGAGAATGACATCACTACCTTCGTCAAGGGCAAAATACAGGTTACACATTAGCATTTCAAACACGCTATTCATTTAATTGGTGCTTTAGCGCTTTAGTGCTTAGACGTGTCTGTCTGTGTGCTTGTGTGCAGGGCATTATCGCCGAATACAACAAAAGCCATGAAATCAGAGAGGATGATGACACAGATAAGTTTAAGGAGGCCATCGCTAAGTTCCGCAAGCTCTTCGTCATGCCGGAGGAGGAGAAGCTGGTGAACTATTACTCCTGCAGCTACTGGAAGGGCAAGGTGCCTCGGCAGGGCTGGCTGTACCTCAGCATCAACCACCTCTGCTTTTACTCCTACCTGCTCGGGAAAGAGGGTGAGTTCAGCTACCGATGGATATGATGTGCAGCAACACATCAGGGCTGGGCCTTTTTTCCAATTGTGTCTATTGTGATGTATTGTTTTGTTTTAAAATAGAGGAATCACAGTTTTGAATAAAAATGTCAGCAAATGTTACAATTTGACATGTTGACAGTACGCCAGCGATAACAGTTAAGAGGAAGGACCGTAATGTAAAACATATTGGCTTTGTGTTTTTGCATTTAAAAACACGAGATGCGAGCAGTGGAATGTGGAAAAACACAATTTTTTATTCATCAATAGTTTTATATTATTAAACTGGTTACATTATTGACGTTATTCCCTGAGGTGAGTAGCAGGGTTATTATCGTTAACACAAATTTAAAACTAAAACCATAAAAAAAAAAAAAAGAAAATGTGAATTAAAATAAATAAACTATAAATACATTTTCAAAATTTGAAACTTTTTCATTTCTCATTTTCGTTTAGATTACCTTTAAGTATTAAAATAAAACTAAAACCATTAAAAAAAAAAAAAAGTAAATGTGAGTTAAAATAAATAAACTATAAATACATTTTCAAAATTTGAAACTTTTTCATTTCTCATTTTCGTTTAGATTACCTTTAAGTATTAAAATAAAACTAAAATAAAAAAAGGAAAATTAAAAACTATAAAGACATTTGTAAAAAAAAAAATACACAAACATTTCGGCTCAAAGCCTTCCTCAGTACACTGAGGAAGGCTTTGAGCCGAAACGTTTGTGTCTTTTCCCATCAGTAATGAATGTAAAATAAAACGAAAAAAGAAGACTGTTACTCGTGAGTGCGGATCATAATTTCCTATACTAAGTAACTTAACAGATTGACGCACCAAAATAAAAAGATCAAATAACAGAAGAGCGCAGTGCAAACGGCGTTGTTAAAAAAAATTACAAAAACATAAAACAAAATTATGAAAATCTAAAATTAATAAAAGCTAAATTACTAATTCAAAATATTAACAAAAATATAATTAGTATATCAGTGATATTGAAAAATAACACTGGTGAGTAGTAGTTGAAATAAACTAAATGTTAAAGGGTTAGTTCACCCAAAAATGAAAATTAGCCCATAAATTACTCACCCTCAAGTCATCCTAGGTGTATATGACTGACTTCTTTCAGACGAATCCAGTCGGAGTTATATTAAAAATGGTCTTTGATCTTTCAAGCTGTTTAATGCCACTCAGCGGGTGTTGCATGCAGTTAAATAAAATGCGCCCATCTATAAAAAAAAGTGTCTCACATGGCTCCGGGGGGTGAACAAAGTCCTTCTATAGCTAATCGATGCGTTTTTGTAAGAAAAATATCCATATTCAAAACGTAATAATCACTTGAATCTAGCTTGCGCTCACTGTTGTAAACCGAAGCAGTTTAATGGGGGAATGACGTATGGAGGTCGACCATTTTTCTTACAAAAACGCATCGTTTCGCTATAGAAGGACTTTGTTCACCCCCCGGAGCCGTGTGAGACACTTTTTTTATGGGGATAGGCACATTTTATTTAACTGCTTTTGGACTGAAGCAATGCAACACCCGCTGAGTGGCATTAAACAGTTTGAAAGATCAAAGACCATTTTTAATATAACTCCGACTGGATATGTCTGAAAGAAGTCAGTCATATACACCTAGGATGACTTGAGGGTGAGTAATTTATGGGCTAATTTTAATTTTTGGGTGAACTAACCCTTTAACTAAAATAAATAAAAATAAACTATAAATAAATTAGTTTATTTAGATTAGCTTTAAGCATTAAAATAAAACTAAAATTTAAAAAAGTAAAATTAAAAACTATATAGACATATTTTAAAAAAATGACAAAAGCACAAATCAAAATTACGAAATTCTAAAATTAATAAAAGCTAAATTACTAATTCAAAATATTTTAAAAATATATAATAGTATATCAGTGATATTGAAAAATAACACTGGTGAGTAGTTTTTGGCCTCGTACACACTGCAGGTAAATTTGGTTGTCATTTCACCTTTTAGTGCTTAATCCTGTTCTGTTCACACACAGTTCAGTAATTTACGGGAGTGACAACCACATGCTACAAACGAATTAACTCCAGAAAAATGCAGGTAATGGCAACCATATTTACAGGAATTCTACGCAGTGTGAGGAACCGAACTGAACAGCTTGTTGTTAATAACATATTTAAAGGGGTCATATGATGCGATTTCAAGTTTTCCTTTCTCTTTGGATACCACTGTTGCCAGATATTGCTATAAAAATTGGTAAATAAGATCCAAGCGTGTTATCTTGGAAATAAGCCACATACCAAAATATCATGACCTGCACCTGTCTACTTTATTAACTACTTAAAATGGATCGCTTTATTGACCGAGCCGAGCCTAAACAACAAGCCCAAAGATGCTTAATAAGCATTGTTTATAATAAGAGGTCTTGGCAACCCTCCAAGAGCGCACTCTGCAAAGCAGCCTTCCCAACCAAACACAACTGCTTTGTTGACGGTGGTTTAGTTAAAATCGCAGTACATAATGAGTCTTTAGTCGTTGTAATATTACTTTTGTAAAAAAAAAATAGCGGATACCAAACATGCAAGAAGGGAAAACTTTAGTTACAACAATGCCAATCATTGCAGTTTTGAGAGTGAGTTCTTTTCCACATACACACAAAACTGTTCACTAGGGGATTCACTCCCATATTTAAATGCGGTTGTCACTCCTGACTCAGTGTGAGTAACGGTTTGTTTCAGCTAAGCTGGTGATCCGCTGGGCTGACGTGACTCAGCTGGAGAAGAACGCCACGCTGCTGCTGCCGGACATGGTGCGTGTCAGCACACGCTGCAGCGAGCACGTCTTCTCCGTCTTCATCAACATCAACGAGACCTTCAAACTCATGGAGCAGCTCGCCAACATAGCCATGAGACAGCTGCTGGACAACAAGGGCTTCGAGCAGGACCGCTGTCTGCCCAAACTCAAGAAGAATTCGCCCAAGAAAGTGTCGGCCCTCAAAAGGTCTGTGACCGCAACACTCATGAAGATAAAGTAGATCAATAAAGATAAAGTAATGCTAGAAAACTGGTGTTAGGAGGCGAATTAAACATTTACAAAGTT